CCGCCATTGTGCACGCGGAGGTATTTGGTTGTGGAATAGTGTAGGTGATCAATGGGTTCTTTTCACGCGACACAAAAGGTCCGATAGAGTGTGAGAAAGTTGGATGGATGCTTTCTTTGTCGAGAGATGCTTAATCATCGAACGTAGTAAAGGGAACAATGGATATAGTACGGTTATAATGACAAATTTTGCTGGGATGTATTTGACGGTTCGGCTCACCTTCTAATTTCTATATCGATTAGAATAAAACCATAACTGCGATTAGCCTAGTACATTTTTGGGGAAATAATAGTTGTTTGTTGACAGCCATCTAAGAAAACCTCATTTCTTATATTGCTAGAGGCTGGGTACGAATAACCTTGGAATGAAGAATTTACAAGTAAAATTTGATGTTGAATACTCACAGGTATCATCATACTTGGAAACGAGAGCAAGTCCTAACTGAACCTTACTAGAACTGTTTACTAACATGGAAAAAACTAACAAAAACCAGAATTGTAGATTACCTAGAAAGTATCGGTGAGCTAAAGGACTAGCTAATTTTCTAGCGTTAGGTGGGGGGAAATTTAAAAGGCAACAAAATATAAATGGAGCTAAGGCAGCTTTTACTTGGACAAACAATTAAATCAAACGCGAAACTTCTATTAGTGGTTGGTTGTTTGTAAGCAGTCATAGGACGGAACCATACCTTAACCATAACAATAAAAACGCATACCTATAATGTGTGCAAGTACATAATATGTACTTTACACACATAATATAGCCAAGCTAAGTGATTAGATTTGAATTATTGGAAACTGAAAATAACTGAAAATCACTAAACCCTTTACACATTTTATCCAACCTCACAATAACCATCAATTTACTTTTATTTTGGATCTCTAGGGTCTGTGCGCTTAAACAATCGGACAAGAGAATGCACGGTAGAAAACAAACCAAAAATAAATAAAATGGGTATTTTGTTTTGCAATTTTGTTGTTTCTAATCAATACATACCCAACGCTTTCAACCATCCGAAGGCCTACAGATGAACACTGAAATGAACCATAAATCGTAACTCTATTTGTTTAAATTTGGACAAATTTGAGTTGCGCTACAATGGTAAGTCGATTCTTCTCGTTTAATTTATCACTTTTTTTATAGTTTTCTGTTCGTTGTCTAGATATTCAGTACACATAAAGAAATCTGCAAAGGGCTAAGACGAATCACAACAATTACTCTCAATTTGTTTTAATAGTATTCGACAGACATGTAATTATCTGGGCTTTAATTTATATTCAGCATAATAACGTAATTAAAATTTTACCTGAATTTGTTACTTACATTAGTCTTGATTTCACTCCGTAGGGACTTGGCATTTTGTCACTTGAATAACAGACTTTACAGTTTGGGACAACAAAAATTCTGTTAGCATTCACTTATTTTGTACTGTTTTGACAAATCTTCACTAACGTTGGTTTAAAGTTTAAGCAAGCTGAACAATTATACAACTGGAGTGCGAAATTTTGAAACATTACTTTCTCTTTAGATTATCTTCTTTTTGTAGCCTTTCACAGTTTTATTTTTTTTAACTGAGGCTTATAAAATTCTAATGTGGTCAAAAACTCTTAACGCAAGGCTCAAATTACCATTCCAGATTTAGTAGCCGCTAGAAAATAGATTATTATACAACAGTACACACACAATGGAAGTTTCTACCGAGCTAGGGAACTGCCACAGAGTGTTTTTGCATACATTATGGGGCAATTAGTCCACTAAATTGAGTTGCTGCGCCAACTGAATTTTATCATTTTAGTCGCTTACAGAATATAGTAAATTAGTTAAAGTTTATAGAGCTTATGATAAAATTTGGACAATATAGATTATTGTTGCAAGTGCAAAAAATTATCCAAAAGAAATAAAGGAAACACAGACGCGTCAGAATTAAATGTTTAACTTCAAAAGCTATTATGGCTCAATGATTGGACAACATTTTAATTACATCTCCGTTGATTTTATTTGAGCTTCTTTAATCTCTTTAATTGTTGATTTTAACTTTAAACTAATAAAATAAGATAAGGTATCTTCATATCAGCGTAAGACTACCTAGATTCTGTGGTAAAGGTTCCGTGGTATCTTAATTGCCAATATATTCCAGCAATTATCATTTAATGATAATGGATTAGGTTAATCTACGTATACGATTAATCGGCATTTACCGAAATTATTCAAGCTGTGTGCTAGAACATCAGAGAATTGCAAGCCGCTGGGGGATATTACATTAAAATTAAATTACTTAACCCGTATTAAAGTGTTTTCATTGAAAATACATTAGCCCATTGCACTTGGCCGCTTTGAGGCTTTGAACTCCTAGGGAATAGAAATTATAGTTAAGTACGAAATTTCTAGCTAGTTCGACAAATAATTATAGAGGGCGTCTCATAAAGACAGCACCAAAATAATTCGATAAGATGTGTTTAGTATGGCCGTAATGTTGGTATAAAAAAATACAAGGTGTTTAAATTGGACATTTTCAATTTCATCATGTTGATGTTTTAGAAACGTTGACTACAAACTGGGTAGAGGACATTTTTTTCAGGCCTAAACTATGGACAGTAATGCTGGACGAAATATTGCAAATTATTTTAATGATGTTTTATTATATTGATCCAATGTAAGTAACAAATCTTAAATCTAACATATAGTCAACTATTAGGCACTTTTCGCTACTACAAAACAAGTTGTGTTTTGGCATAGCATTAGAAAAATGATTTCCGTACAATTTTGGTGCTTGCTTTACAGTTTATAGCGTTGCAAGTTTCTGAATATACTCAAGAAAACTATTTGTCTGGAAAAACTTTTAACTATTGTATGTAGATAAAAATTATTCTTCGGGAAAAGAGTGACAAATTTCAGCCATATCCATCGTTCATCTCAATACTATTTTAGAAAACAAATACAACATTAAACAGCTTTCAATAGAAAGCATAACGAGTAGATAGATAATTTATCTAATATGGTGCCTCCCTCATTTTAGTATTTATATATTCAGGTTTTATTCATATCACTTAAAATGTTCGGCTCCTTTTCAGGAGTCAAAATATTATCCTGTAATGAAGAAATGCTGAGTAAAGTCTGTTCATAGATATAAAAAGGTGACTAACTGATACGAATTAAGGAAAGCTCCGTGCAAGCTGTAAGAATGAAATATGGCCGAACAATTCCGTACCTTGCTTAGAATTTAATTATTTGGGGTTTTGTTAGGAAAGATACTAAACAATATTTATTTGTTTATGTATGTATTTATGTTTAAATCTAAAATAAAATTACAAATTATTTTTAATACTTACTTAAATTACTTAAAATTATTCACGTAATATATCAGTATCACTATCGCTATCATCGCCTGTTATTATTTTTTATTTTATTATTTATTTGTTCTATATTATTTGAAATACGATTATTCTGCTTTTTCTATATGTATAACAGAATTTGCCCAACGTTGAGGAGGGATGTTAAAAACTTCGGTTTCTATAATTTTGAGGACATTAGAGTCAACACGGGGAAAACATTGTTACGACGAATGGCAGATTTCAGTTGGTGCCAAACATGTTCAATGAGATTAAATATACAATGGTTAGGTGGAAGCCTAAAAACTGTATGCCCTAGATTTTTTGCATAATTATCACAGACGTATTCCTTGTGTAGGTTCAAGCTTTGTAGAACCTCAATTAATTGCTTTTTGGTATAATATTCGTGAAAATAAATGTCGTTATTATACATGTAGTTTTGGATTTTTGCTTTTGTGTCACATGAGGAGGGGGTTTTAGTCAACTGTCTACCGTCATAACTTGCATTGTCCATTACAATTACGCTATTAGGAGGAATGTTTGGAACTAGTTTGTTTTTAAACCAACTTTCAAATAAATCAGCGGTGGTGTCTTCATGGTAATCCAGAGAAGAATCTTTAATATTTTTCGCAGACAGAGATAGTCCATTTGGAATCCAACCATTTTTAGAGCCAGCAGCATGTTTTTTTCCTCGCTGAAATGGAATTATTCACAATTATCCATACAGTTGATGTTGGAATTTTCGTCAATGTGACCGTTTCTTCTAAAGATGCTTACCTGCTGGTACCACGTTCAATGATAGTCAAATAAACATTGTTTATAAATTTACTTAGTCTCAATAAAATAATGTTTTCTACATTTGGACGGGAGCATCTCCCGATATACACTAGACTCGCACATATTTTGCATAATTCGCACACGATCCAACAGACGCTGTATTACACACGAAATAAAAATGATTACTAATAAACTTAAACTAAGTAGTATGCCAAACCAAAGAATATTAAACTCAGCTAGGTATAAACTTATTTTCTATTACGCACCACAATTTTACCTGAATTTAAATTCCGAAACTTTAGGTAATAATCTTGCATTGTATGTTAATGACCACCCTTGGATAATCCCATTCAAAAGCAATTGGTCACTTTCTTATATCTATGAACAGACCATACCTAACTTCAAACTGAATGCCCCCGTCAGAACAAATCAATTGAGCGATAAAAACGGATTTACTTATAGATTCATTGTTCAAATTGCGACGAAATACACCACACTGCTGATTACTAGATCTTTGACATTGTACAAAATATGATAGATTTTTCTAATACAGTTGCTGTATTTCATCAATAAAATTAATAGCGAGTGCCATATTTAAATTATAACCTAACATACGTACCATATTGCCCATGGTTAATCATAGCAAACCGGTATACCCAACGTAAAACCCAATCATCCAACTATACAAACTTACATTACCCCGAGGGTGGTATGGGGGGGAGAAAAGGGCCGTCCGAGGCGGGGCCCACAATAAAACCCTTGTTTGTTAGCCTCGTATAAGCTATTAAGGAGGGGTACGACATATAAACCTGAATCACCACCTTAATCCTCAGTGTCCCGTTGCTTCTCGTCGAAATAAGTGTTCGTCCGGCACCCCCAATGACGAGTAGCAAAATGTCTTCTAATTTTTCAGTCGAATCGCTTATCGGCAACGCTTCCAAAGACGCGCATTCGCAGTACGTCCCTCACTTACCTCACGGTCAATCCAAGACCTTGCTGCCTTATCCGCCGAATTACCTTAGCTATTTCTACTCGCTGAGCTTTCAGCAACAACGCATGATGCAGATGTACGGGATTCATCATCGTCCTCATGAAGGTCCGATTCGACCGGTGGCGGCGCATCCAAGATTGGTACCCCAAGTATCCCCGAAGTCTTCGACGCCTTCGCCGAAGTGCGAGACCAGGGATTCGACGCCAAGTCCTCCGTTAACTCCGGAAAAGAACCCGGATGCGTACCTATCGAAAGACAACTCCAGTAAGAGGATCCGTACGGCCTTCACGTCCACTCAGCTGCTGGAATTGGAAAGAGAGTTCGCGACCAACATGTACTTGACACGCTTGAGGCGTATACAGATCGCCACGTGTTTGAATTTGTCGGAGAAGCAAGTGAAAATTTGGTTCCAAAATAGGCGGGTGAAGTACAAGAAAGACCTGCCCAATCCTCAGCGCGGCAACTATTTAAGAACTGCGGCACATCGGAAGTCGAGATTTTCAATGTCCGAGGATGACGTGGACGTCACCAATTTGGATTCCGACATGGACGTTGCCGGACTGGATAATGTGCATCTGGAATGACGTAGGTGGCGAGGGCCCGGATCCGCTGGCGGTTGTATATATTTTAAGATATTTATTATTTGTTATTGTTGATAATAGTGAGATATACTTCTAAGTTTGAGAGTGATGTAGAGATGCGAGGCTTTGAAAGTCCCCGGGCTGTGCCCAAAGAAATATTTTTGTATGGTCAAATATATATTTTTGACATAATAAATGAGTTTTTTTTTCGTTATATACATCAAATGTCAACTAACCGAAACAATACTTTGAGTTGATACAGATTGAAGGAAAAAATGTTTATAATTTATTTTCAATAATGTATAATTTAAGCTTTTATCTGTTTTAGCTATTTTAAATTAAGTTGAGAAATCGGAATGTGAGAGTGGCCATTTTTAACAGATGTTCACCACTAGTCACTTCATCGTGAAGTATGTCTCTGAGGATCGACATTTTCATTAGCTATTCCTATTTTCTGTTTCATGTAACAGTATTTAATTTATCAAGTTAGTTAATGTTATTTGTCAATCAGACATACTCAATTGACTGTACTTGACATTTATCACTATCCCAACGAATAACAAAGTATTGCGACTACTCAATATTCACAATAGGCAAATTTATTACATTACATTTATTACTTTCTGTGTATGCTTTGTAAATTATTTTTGTGAATGTGTGACCTAATTATAAATTATGCTTTTATCTGGTATAGCTGATTGAAATTAAGTTGTTCACCTCTAGTTACTTCATGGCAAGTTATGTCTCTGTCTCATGTGACAATATTTAATTTATCAAATGGGTTAATATTATTTGTCCCTCAGACGCACTCAGTTTTCAATATATTAAGAAAATGTGGTCAGTAGATTTGCTGAACTTGATTTTTATCCCTATCCCAAACAAAAACAACCTGCAGTGATGAATTTGGATAACAAAATATATATATCACGACTACTCAATATTGATAATAGACAATTGTACTATATTCCTTTTGATATTTTTGGGTAAGCAGACAAAATAAAATAAAAAACACAAAGAAGATTTTTAATTTAGGTGACGACATGGAAAAATCACTCTTTGCGTTTTATAAATTTTATACAAAATGATCAAAACTATTTTTCTCGCATTTTTTCACCACTAGAAATACCGGGTGACATCAGAAACTATAACTTATAAACTTATAAACGGCTTGAAATAGCGATTTGAAATTTGGGTGGGTAATTATAGGCTGAATATCCAATTTTTCAAAGTCTATGGTTGCACTTCCGGTTTGAATGGAAACGACAGTAAATTTCGAATTTTAAATGCACAACCTATATTTTTTGCATTTTTGAATTCAGGAGATTATTCTACATAGAAGAGGATGGTTTTTCTTTTTTTTTTTTCATTTTTGAAAATTGTGTCTAGGACGCTGGGACCAACATAACCAACCAACACCAGATCATGGGAAAAATTGTAAATGAAACTTTTCTTTACTTGTCTAATGGCAAATAGTAATAATGTAAGAAAACACTAGTTTTTTCAAATAGCACCCTTGTGGGAACAAAAACTTTTTAAAACCTGTACTTTTTTAGCAACATTTTGACACCAACATTTTTAAAATTCGGTAAAAAATAAGTTCACAGGAATCAGATAAATAAATACATCTATATAAAAAAAAATATTACTTAGGAGGCGTGATTAAAAAATTCAGACAGTTTGTATATTTTTATCTGATTATCGATTTTTCTATGTTATCGATTTGGATTATAATGGAAAACAATAATCAATTTACAAATGGAGAAAAAGTTGATATGTTTCTAACATACGGGGAATGCAGAAAAAACTCTCGACAGGCCCGTGAATTGTATGCAGTCCGCTATCCGGGATGTCTCCTTCCTACAGATTCTTTCTGTAGAAAGCTGGAATTGAAAATGAGAAATCCAGAAAATAATCGATATGATAATTTTATTATGAGTGAATTAATGGAAATCAATGTTGTGGGATACGTCAAAGTAAATCCAGTTACGTCGCTAAAAGAAGTGGCATTAGAATTAGACATCTTAAGAGAATCTGTAAGAAGAATTTAAAAAAAAACACGGCTGTCATTCAAGTATAACCTCCATCAGCATCTTTATAAAGACTTTGTAAGAAGACTTCGATATGGTAATTGGCTGTTAGATAAACACGAATAGAATTATAATTTCGTTAACTTACTTTTGTTCACTGATGAGTCACGATTCTCAAATAATGCTTTATTTAACCGACAGAACAATAGATAAATAATCAAAGAATTATTCGTTCGGGTCAGTTTCAAAAACTTTTCGGAATCAATATTTGGACAGGAGTGATAGAAAGGCGAATTATTTGACCTGTTTTTTTTTTTTTTCATGGTGCCTTAACTGTTGCATATTTACAATTCCTAAGAAATTAAATATGTATTTTCAGCAGGATGGCACGGATTTTGAAAATATTCCTGTCAAAATGTTGCAAAAAAAGTACAGGTTGCATTAGATAAGTAAAGAAAAGTTTCATTTACAATTTTTCCCATGTTCAGGTGATGCAACAAGTGCGGAACATCCAATTGCTTCCAAACCCCTGCGGAAAAATCCCGGAAATGTCCGAAGTGGCTCAGATCCGTGGGAAATGAAATTGAAGTGGGGAAGTGACGCTTCCCGCACGCTAGATCAGTGTGTAATTAGGCATTTTACAGACGGGAGTAGAAAAATAGTATTTATGACGGCCACAGCCTCCTACACACAATTTTCAAAAATGAAATAAAAATAAAAAAAGAGAAAAACCATCCTATCCTATTCTGACTCCAAAAATGCAAGAAAAATATGTGCCAATTAAAATTCGAAACTTACTGTCGTTTCTGCTCAAACCGGAAGTGCAACCAACTACTAAAAGTTAAAGAGTGTTCTCACTTTCTTGTGTTACCCGGTATATTAAATTAAATGTTAAAGTATTTTCAAAAATAAACAACAATTTTGTTGTTGTAGAACAAAGCGTAAATAAAACAAAATATTCTGAAATCAAGCGAATCGCCGATTAAAAAATTCCCGTTGGAATGCTTTTTAGCAATCGTCCAGCCAGATAATTCGAAAATTCGCAGCCATTGTATTTTTTTTTTTGCGAAAATATTGCTGGCTTCGGCGACCCTTGCGTTTGCCGCAGCGTATTATAACGAATCAAGTAGATTTTCGTTTGTTAAAAATCAGATAGCGTCGGCAATAGAATTACGGGTGTTTTTATCTTGTTAACATCCTATGCTGTCGAGCCCTTTATTGTACCGTCTCTCTCGTTAATGTGGCCCCTCCCATATGTTATGATTAAAGGGCCCCGTTTTGAAATTCGACCAACGAAAGAGGGGGTACGCTGTGGGGTGGTAGCGGCGACCCCCCTATGGCAATTATTTTAAAACACGTCCGTTACTATTATAAGTTTTCAAATGATGCTCGGGCAATTCGGCAGATATTTAATTGTGTTGCCATTGTGCTTCAAAAGGTATTTATGAATGTAGTGAATAGATAAGAATGGAATAAATGAATAAATATTAACCGCATTATCGGGGCGGTGGGGTTAAATCGCTACCGATTTGAAACCGCGCGGTCTTGAATATAACAATGTTAACATTTCGTAGTTATAACAGTGGAAATTTTATCACATTTTATCACTTTTTTTTTTGTTAATTGATCAATCAATTGATTGATTAGTTTTCAGTAACTTTTTGAGTTCTACTTATTTTTCACTTGCAGAATCATTTATATCTTATGGAATAAATGGTTGGGGTGCTGTCTGTCACACAACTCTTCAGCCCCTTTACGTAATAAAAAAAAAGAACTTTGAAAATTATATTTTATTTAAATCTGCGATATCCATCTGACTTAATTTTTACTCAATTTCAAATACTTCACATAAAAAATTTATATTACAATTCATCCCTTTTGTTCTTAATAAAAAATAACTTTCTGGTTTATTCAAAAACTCACGAGTACAAAACACGCTTAAAACTTGGAGAAAAATTTACTTTACAAAAGCTATATTTATCTGTTGGACAAAAAAATTACTTTCATACTGGTCAAAAAATGTATAACGCACTACCTCCAGAACTGAAAAATAAAATAAAATTAAAATCATTAAAAAAAAATGACCTAAGTGGCTTATTGATGTTAAATTGTAACTTAGTTTTAAGTGGCTATTTACTATAAGTCAAATTCACAGATTCACTAATGTATAGTAACTATATAAAATCTTTTTTTTTTGGTAGAATACTATTTTTTTTTCTTATTATCTAATAGATGGGAAAAATAGTTAAATTAATTTCCGTTATGTTCAGAGATGGCTGTCAAGTTTTTAACTTAGTATACCTTGAATCCAAGTGTTTTTTTCTATTAATATTTATATAATGTTTACGTTAAAATAAGTTGTTATTTTTCTTTATTTACATAAATATTATTATTATTATTATTATTATTATTATTATTATTATAAAGTGCATTTATTAATTTAATTGAGTGACAATATATAACGTCATATCCACCGGTTCCTTCAAAATACATGATAACAAGTAAAAGAAGTATCATTAAGAGAAATGTTCAGAAATTCAATAACTCAATGGTTTAATAAAATTTTGGAAAAATAAAACAGGCTAAAAAATAAAATATATAAATGTAAGTTAAGTTTTATTATCTTTTGGTCTAAATATTTACATAAAGGTTGTCATTTGTTGAAAAGTAGTAATAATAGTAAAAATAAGAAAATATTAAACTCGTCTTTGAAACGTCAATTTATTGGTTTTATATAATCATTAAAAAATCAAATAGACAAAAAATGCATCAACGGAAAGCGAAGATATACATAAATTATTTAAAATAAAAAAGTTCAAATGCAGATACAATTTAAAACGATATTCTGGAAAATATAAAAACAAAAGTAAGAAACAAAATAGAAACCACAAGCCTACAAAGCGGAAGTGATATATCAGTAGAAGGTTTATTTTAAAGGTATATTGATGCATTTATTAGGTTTTGGTTTGTCAGGTA